ACACATATAAATATATATTTATATATATAGACTACAATATTACTTTAAAGTATTTCATCAAAGACGTGTGGATGCAGGCGCTGCATGGATCGGAGATAGTAAAGACAGTAGCGAGCATAGTTGACGTTCCAGACTCAAAGATGTAGGGGAACATCTTTTCCACAGCAAACAAGTGAAGAGTCCAGTCAGCTTCTCTCTCAGCCCGAGCAAAGGCCATCACAATGAACACTGGGTCAAGGAGCACTCAACCCAAAGTCTTGTGGTTTTACTCTAGGTGCTTTTGGTGACGAGATGTTGCGTGAGTGCAGCCATAGTGTGCACGTCAGTGTTGGGGAGAATGAGTCGAAGTAACTCCTCAACAAGAAGTCTCAATGCTTTTACATTTTTTTCGGGTCAACATGTTTAGCATCCCTACAAATGCTGAGCCAAGTATGTATTCAATGCCACTTCCTCCCATCCGGTATCCCATAGCAATAACAAAACTCCTCAGCATGTGCATACCAACACGTCTTGGGATGAACTTCTGAAACTGTTCCTTGTCAACCCATGTGATGTGGACAAGTTCTTTGTAGAGCTGGTACTCACTGGAGAATATTATCCATCCATGACCAGCGAGCTGTGTCAGACCCTTGGCTTCAACCATTGCTGTCTTCATGGTGTCTGGCTCAGATGGGATCATGTCCAGGAATGAGCTGTACACCACATCTGTCTTTGGTTGGGGTTGTTGTTCTGCACTGCGAGTACGTTGTGTGTTATAACGTCCGTACTCAGGTCTTGCATCTTCGCCGAGTGCCTGTTTAAAAAATGACAGATCTTGAGTTGCAGTTATATTCAGAGAAACGTGTGGCAAGAAAGACCCGAGATGGGACATGTCGCAGGCTCAGTTCTTCCGGCATAAGTGGTCTCGTGTTTCCTGTGTACCGTTGAACTGCAACGTCACCAAGCGGCAGATTATCGGACTTGTTTCTGTTTTGCTGAGACGCCTGATGGCTGGAATATCTTGCATTTCCCACACCTGCTCTGATTTCTGGGTGTTGGCTTGTGCCAGTATCATTGCTGAGCCGTGCGTTGATTTTTGGCCTTTTGGAGATGATATCTGCGTGTCAAAGTTGTCAGCTACAACTTGAACAAGTCCATGTTTACTGTCAAAGTAGGCCAGTCCTCGTGGAACAGATGCCATAGCAACAGTAGCTGAACACCGAAAGCGCCTTAGTTTGCCGTATGAGGTGGTGACTCCATACGCGTGAAGCTCGTCTATAAATTTCCTCTGTCGACTCAACAGGACACTAAGTCCAAGTTGCAAGTTTGTGAAATAGCTGCTGACTGTACTCGAAACAGTGTGGCTGATCATTGCTGCTGGCAGTGTAGAATCCAGTTTGGGGTCTGTAGCTGCAAGGACCGATAGCAAAGGCTGCACTCATTCATGACAAATTCCCTAGGCAGACGAGTTGGGAACGTATGGCGATTAGGCTTTGGACTTTCTACTTTGATCACACTAACCAAGCATGACATGGCTCGTCCATTGCAGTCTTCTTCATCATTCACAATACGCATCTAGACTGAAGCCGTGCTCCTGAAGACGAGGATGGAAGCCACACCTGGTGAGACAGGATCAGCAATTCTGGGTGTAGCTTCTCAGACACATGGTTCAGGAGTGTACGTCGCGATTTGTCTTCCCCCCAAGTTCAATATATAGCGTTCATGGACTTCCACACTATTCCACATTCGTGATTTGTTTCAACCAATCTCGTCAACCAGCATACCGAAGACATTGTCATGCGTTGTAGGTGAGCTAGTTGATTGCGTTGGATAGTTTGTGTAGAACCAGGAGTGGCAGTCTCTCTGATACCTAGTGTCTGCTGCATGCAAATCACTGACTGTTGATGACACATGGGAGCTGACATCCGTTCCCCATTTGTCCCCACGTTCCTTGGCACGTTTTTTGTAGTTCTTCTTTGGTGATCTTCCTCCCTTTCTCCTCTCCAGTTCGGCATAAGTAGGCTTTTTCCTACGATCTGGGTGTTTTCGGGAGTTTCAGTGTGAATGCTTCTCCACAACAAAAAAACAATGTTCGTGAAAATTAAACGAACTAGTACTGCCCCTATGACGTTGGGTTCTTCTTCAGAAAGTTCCTCAGTCTTTTGCTTTAGTAAAAATCGCTTAATATGGTCTCTGGAACAATGTGTGCTCATATAGTTCTTGTGACACAGTATAAACTCAGCATCTTCTAGAAGTCTCTGATTGAGTCCATCATCTCGTTTCCGGCGTGCTTCCAGTAGACCACTAATCCGTCTCGATTTGATCAACGGTGGGTTCTTTATCGCACCACTATGTGTTTAAAAGTAATTGAGTGAGACACTGTGTGTATGCATGAGCATGTTGCATGAACCAGCCTGTTCGCATCACGTCCTCGTGGTGACGTAGCGTTTTCCTACATTCTTTGTTTCTACGGAGGTGTGGTGTGACGAAGCACTGTCTGCCAATGTCTCCTTGCTTTGCTAGTTGAGTCCATATTACAGCAGGCTGTGCTGTGCACCTTCCGGTGCAGCATGTGACATCACGACGAGAGGAGCTGTTAGCGTTAGGCCTAGATCTAGTACCCTCGCGCGAATCTTGGTCAACTCGTACATGGTAGAGGTGGGCAAAATCCGGATAAACTATCCGGATAACCGGATAATTCTCAATGAAATATTATCTGAATTCAGACTCTAAACTCTCTTTCCTGACCCGTTTGCCGAAGTGAGTGTACCCATTTGTTGATGAAGTAATGCTAACCCGTTTATCTAAGAGATTTTGCCAAAGCGGTTCATAACATATTATTTGCCGAAGAGGTGTACTATCATATTATCCGGATTTTGGTAAAGCGACTCATTGCCCAGCCCTATAAGTCGCTCCTTCACCATTCTTGCATGATACGGGTTGGTCTATTTCAACCAGTAGAAAAAATTATACCCATAAGATACAAGTTGGCCCCCGACTGATATGAAGTCTAGAGACCCCGAGGAAGCAGAATCACCAAAGAAAAAAACTTTATGATGAAAAACAAGGTTCTAGTACTTTATATAGACCCGGCTCTCGGACTACCTCCATTGCACTCTTCGCTGAGTTCCTGACTTTCTGCAGCCTTTCTACTGCTACGTTTTGTCTCCTATAAGAATTACACCCAGCTATCTAGATCTAGAATAAGGGCGAAAAATCATGGGGGTCCCGTGTGCAAGTTGTGCGCTTCGGGCACGTTCCTTCACGACGACTTCGACATCACATTACTTTTTTTTAAAACAGGTCTCTGTTATCGGGATTTCATTCAATAAATGAAGAACTATCGAAATAGGTTCACTTGTTTTTATTTAACGATCAATGTTTGAACATTTTCATCACTTTTAGATTTAGTACCAAAAAGGGGCCTCGGCATAGTGGGTTTATCCACATCGGGGATAAAGAGCTGCAGATCCCCTGGTTGTCCAAAATCGAATAAGAGTAGGCTTCGGCAGCCACCAGGGCAAAATTCAAAATGTCCTACCAACTGAAAATGATTAATGTGTCATGAGCGATCATATGACCTTATGCAGTTACGAGCACCGTAAAACACCTACCAAAATATAAAAACAGATATATAAATAGATAGGTAAACAACTAAATAAATGAATGAATGAATAAATAAACAAATAAATAAATAAATAAATAAATAAATAAATAAACCTATATATAGGCAGATAACTGAATAAATGAATAAATGAATGAATGAATGAATGAATGAATAAATAAATAAATAAATAAATAAATAAATAAATAAATAAATAAATAAATAAATAAATAAATAGATAGATAGATAGATAGATAGATAAATGAATAAATGAATAAATGAATAAATAAATGAATAAATGAATAAATAAATGAATAAATAAATAAATAAATAAATAAATAATCAATCAATCAAACTGTCCACTGACCCACTTGCACCAGGTCCCCCTGTGTGCCCTTCTCATTGGTGGCGGAACACTTGTAGACGCCCAGATGCTTCTCTGTCACATTCAGGATGGCCAGGGTGGTCAGGAAATAGTTGCTGGACCCCGTCGGCATCTTCATGTCCTTCTGCTCGTATTCGCTGTCGTTGTGTAGAAAGTAACATCATTACAATTATGCGTGTCACCGTCGTGAAATCATATGCTCGTCAAATTAATAAAATCGGGGGAAATCGACAGTTTTGGTCCGTCAGGCAATTTTTAGCAGTTAGTTTTTCGTAACTGTTAAAATCAATTAATTAATTTAAACAATCTTTTCTGGAGGAGGTGGGAGGGTGGGAGTGGACTCAGCACCTTTCATGTCCATTTAAAAAACAACACATTCTGTGTGGCTTTACTGGGGAAATATCGATCAAAAGCACAAAAAAGTACATTTGCAGTTTCCTAGGAATGTGTTTTTTGCTATGTGCGTGTTCGCTCTGTGCTATGTGCGTTTTTGCTATGATCTATATTATGTGTTTCGCTATGTGCTATGTGTGCTTCACTATGTGTGTTCGCTATGTGTGTGTTCGCTCTGTGCTAAGCGTGTGTTTTGCTATGTGCTATGTGTGTTTCACTCTGTGCTATGTGCGTGTTCGCTCTGTGCTGAGTGTGTTTCGCTATGTGAGTATTTGCTAGGTGCTATGTTTTTGTTATGTGTTTGTTCGCTAGGTGCGTGTTTCACTGGAAATTCAAATGGCTAGGAAATGATAAAAATCACGAACGGATAGGCATTTATTATCCTGATAAATAAATGAATGAATGTGACACAGATAGAAGAATAAATGAAGGAATGTTTGTGAATACAAGCGACGACAACAGAGACAAAGGAAACAATGATAGTGATGAATTACTATTTTCTTTCCATATTCATGCATATTCTAGAGTCCGTATATTCTGTCTCACTATATTACTATTTAGATGATGATGATGATGATGATGATGATGATGATGATGATGATGATGATGATGATGATGATGATGATGATGATGATGATCCTTGTTATTCAATGTTCTTGACGAAGTTGGCAGGGTAAAAACCTAAGTGGGTGGTTGGCGGGTCCTCTGTTGTGGTTTGCTTCTTCTTTCCTATCAAACATCTATCGTCCTCATCTCCCCTTCTTCTTTTTAATGTTTGTTACTCTCTAGTAATCTTTTGGCGCTCATATGACCTTATGTAGTTGCGAGTACCGTATAACCTCTATTAAAACTATTTTAAAAAACAAAAAATTTAGAACTTATTTTAGTTTTACAAATATTAACTTACTCAAGACTCCACATTTTTTGTTGGCCTTTTCATGTTGATGCTATAAAAAAGGAAAAGCAAAGAGAAGAAGATCATAACGATGATGACGACAACAAGGATGATAACGAGGACAACGACTCACCCGGGCGTGGAGTATATATCGTGCTCCTCCGAGCCTTTCTCGCCGGTGTTGAAGGTCCAGTGGAATGTCCTGGGGGCCGGGTAAGCTACTACTGTACAGGCCAGGACTTCTCTCAGGCCCAGGGAGGTCATCTGACGTCTGCTGCGAGAGGTCACAGTGGGTGGGCCTGGGCACACGAGTGACATGTATAAGAGAAACTCTTCAAGACGATTACCCCCGTTGCGGTGAG